GTACGGGGCATCCTTTGGGTCTCGTGGGGGATTTCCAATCGCTCCAGGTCAAGACCGGCCTCCCTCGGCGTATCCTAGCGCTGAGGGTTCAAGCTCAGTCCGCAGGCCTCCATTTATTGAGCACCTCCTGTATGCCAGGCACTGTGCTCTTCATGTGCAGGGAGCCTCACGGGGTCCCCGGCAAGAAGGTGCTCTCATCCCCATTTTATGGGTGAGACGCCTGAGTTCAGAAAAAATAGGTCACATGATTAGTTGTTGGCGCCAGGGTTCGTCAGCTCACGAGTTTTGCCCTTAGCCACTGTGCAGGCCCTTTCTCCGGGCCCAAGGTCCAGGGAATGCATGCGGTGGTGCCCCTGGTCCCCAGCTCCAGGTGGCACAGATGCGTCTTTGGAGCAGGAAAATGGTGGAGCTCTGGACTCTGCACTAAATCTCAGCCTGTGTGGACCCTGGCTGTGTCCCCCGCCCTACGTCTCCCCCAGGGAGGAGCGGAGTGTCAGCTGGGGTGGAACCTGGGACACAGGCTCTGGGTTCTAGCATTCCGCTCCAGACGCAGAGGCAGTGCGCCCTCTGCTGGACACCGTGCAGAAAGCAGGGCCCAGAGGGGCTCGGAAGGGGAACAGCCTTGTGGTCACCTGGCCCAGGAGTCTGGCACGTTTGTGTCAGACAGGATTCATTTTATAGATGCTAGGGATCTGTTCTTACTCTGAGCCAGGCCCTGCCCGGGTTCATCTCCCGTTATCTCACAATCGCCCTCGGCCAGCGGTTCTCAAACTTTCGGTCCCTGGATTCCTTTAGGCCCTTGAAAAATATTGAGGCCCTCAAAGCCCTTTGATTTATGTGGGTTGTTTATATGGGTGTTTTCTGTGGGTTAATTTATATGGATTAGTTTTCTACGTTTTAGAAATTAGAATAGTAATTTGATATGTGTTAATTTGTTTAAAAACAATTATAGTAAACTTTAAAAAAAAAATCCACCTGTGAAAAATAACTCTAAAAGGCAAACATTTTTTTGAGAAGAATGCTCCTCATTTTACATCTTCACACATCTCCTAAGATCCGGCTGGATAGAAGTCCGCCGATTCTTACCCTGGCTTCTGCCATTTAGTCTGTCGTGATGTCATACGTCCTGTAGCTTCTAGAAAACTCCTCTGCGTATGTGTGACAGACAGAATGGAAAGTGTGAATAACATTCCCATGTATTAAGAAGACAGTGTGACCTCATAGACCCCCCCTCGAGGGAGTCTCGGAGGGTGGGGGGCCTCCCCGGGTATTCAGACCAACTTCGAGAACCAGGACCGTGAGTATGCCATCGCCCCCAGTTTGCAGGCGAGGAATCCGCTTCAGCGAGGTTAAGTGCCTGGTCCAGCGTCACGCAGCCAGGGAGGGGCGGAGCCGAGTCTCCTCCCAAGGAGCCCAGGCTTCTCCTTTCTGGCCTCTTTCTCTTTTTTTAGCCCTCTCTCCTCACTTCCTGGGGACTCCAGGGGTTAGGCCTTCATCCCAACCCCTGGCCGTCCCCTGAGGTCACTTGCTGTATGCTAGACTGTGCTTGGTGGACTGCTGTCACCAGAGCGAGTGTGGGCCGAACCAGGTCTGGGGACCAGAAGGCCTGGGCTCCTATCTCGGCTTGACCACTTCCTACCCAGGTGGCCTCCCCGGGGGCTAATGACACGTGGCCCTCGTAGGACAGTGGCAGTGAGGTCTCGGGGGAGGGTGGTCTTTGAAGTCCAGTGGTGTTAGAAATGGCCCTGCCGCCCAGGCCCCCACGTTAGGGGTCTCCGGGTTGTGTCATGTGCCCACTAGGGGAAGTGCCGACCCGGAAGTCTGACCTGGCCCCACACAGAGCCAGATCCCTGAGCTTCCCGGCTTCCCCCGGGCCCACCTCCTCCCCTAAGACCCACCCCGGCTCTGGGACAGGAGTCTGAGCTGCCCGGCCAGCTGGCTCCCAGCCCCACATGGCCTGTCTCTAAAACGGCCTCTCCCCTTTGGGCCCCATGGTTTCAGGCTGTGCGCAGGCCTCTGGCGGGGGTCGGGGATGGGGGTGGGGGGTGTGGGTAGCCTTTGGATCAGGGGAAAGGTGTGAAGTGCGAGGGGGCGGAGGCCACCTCCAGGGCCTCTCAGGGGTCTGTGTGTCTGTCTGCTGTCCAGGAGCCCATGACGACGGCTGGCAGGTCAGCAGCGTAGGGGGCTCAGAGCGTCCCGCACAATGGAGTCCAGGGGGGCTTCTCCTGAACCCTGAAGATGAGGAGCTCACGGCACCAGGTACCTCCGGCCCCAGACTGGGTGTCCTTCCTGTCACCGCTCTGACAAATTGCCCCAACCTAGTGGCTGAAGACAACACAAACTTATCCTCAGTGTTCCTGACTGAAGTGGGTCTCACGGGGCTGAAATCGAGGTGTCGGCAGGTTGTGGACCCAGAGGCCCTAGGAGAGAATTCATGCCCTTGCTTTTTCCGGCTTCTGGAGGCCCCTGTGCTCCTTGGCTCATGGCCCTTCCCCCGCCTTCAACGCTGGTCCAGCCTTTCTCATACTGCATGACCCTGGCTCCCACTCTCCGCCGTCCCCCCATCTTTGAAGGACTCCGCGGCCACATCGGGCTCTGCTGGGTGACCCACCTTAACCTTTGTCCCTTGAAGTCAGCTGATTAGCATCCTGGTTCCACCTGCAGCCTTAAACCGCCCCTACCATGCGACACAGCTTACTCAAAGGTGCCAGGGATTAGGACATGGGCACCCTTGGGGGCCATCTTCTGCCGACCACGTGCCGCACAGCATCTGCTGGAGCCCCCCTGCTTCCTGGTCACGGCCTTGCCAGCCAGGGCTCCGTCAGGCCACTGTCCCACCCCAGACAATCCCCGTGCACTTCCCATCAGTCCCTCACCCCGCTAGGCCACTGCACATCACACCCGGGGCCATGGGATTCCTGTAGAAACAAGAAGTTCTAGATTGTTCTGAACCACACCCCTATCCATGTGTGCGAACACGGCCCCCAAGGGCCCACAGCCAGGGAGCAAAGGACATTGGTCCTTGGGCCCTGTCGTGGGACAGGCGTCAAAGCTCAGCGGCTCACAGACAGAAAACATGTAACTTTGTCGACACGGTTAAGGTCTCAAAGAGAGTCATTCGCTCAGGAAGTGTTTGCCCGGCTGTCTAAGCTCGGCGGCTCACAGACAGAAAACACGTTCCATGTAGCTTTGTCGACACGGTTAAGGCCTGAAAGAGAGTCATTCGCTCAGGAAGTGTTTGCCCGGCTCCGGGCCAGGCTGGTGGACACGCTCGGCTGTTCCCATTCATGTCTCGATATCCCGCATTCTAGCAACGTGCTCCACCTCCGGTTACTCAAGAGGACAAGGACTGAGGGGACACGTAAGGTGGGGGTGTCCTCTCGTGTCCCGTCCTGCCCTGGCGTGATCGTCAGCGTCAGCCGTTGGCACCTTCCGAGGGATAACCCCAGTCCAGTGTGTCTCTCAGGAACCCATCGCCTCCTTTCTGCTGGAAGTGAGTTCTGACTCCAGCCGAAAGCGTGGCCTCTGGGGGCCGTCACATGTGTGGCTCGCTTCCCTCCTCCTCGCTTAGAGCCTCACTCAACTCCCACGCATGTGGGTCCACGTGTGTCCCGCCTGTGATCGGGTGGCCAGGAGCCAGCACTGTGCATATGGCGTGTGTCTCCTCTGCTTCCACAGAGACTCTCTCGTCCCCTCCGACCTCACCTGCAAAACCCAGATTCAAAGATAAAAGCTTTAAGGACATCAAGGTGGTGACAGCAGGCCATTAAACCGGGCGTGGGGCCCTGTGTGACCGAAGGGGCCGCACCTGATGGAGCTGTGGTCTAGGGCCGGCTGAGGGGCATAGCCGGGCCTCCCTCTGTGCCGCCTGTGGTGGCAGCCTTTGATGTCCTGTTTGCTGTAGTTTTTATCTCGTTTGAATGCTTAATTGCCAGTAAACTCAGTATAGACATTTACTACCAAGCTCATTACAGGGAAGCCATCAAAGCCTTCTTCTCTCGTCCTCAGAGAAGTTCCTGGGAGACCAACGTTTCAGCTACGGGCAGCCCCTCACGCTGACCTTCCAGGTACCCCCCGGGGGATCCCCAGGCCCCGTGCTGCTGAGGCTGGAAGGGGCGGGCCTGGCCCTCACTCTGCAACACTCCAGCCTGGCCGGCCCCCAGGACAATGGGCAGCCAGGCGAGGTGCAGCTCAAGTTCCAGTAAGTGTCCCGCTTGGTCCTGAGAGGTGGGGCCGGGTGGTCAGGTGGTCCCTGTGGCCCAGGCTCCGGCCCTCCCCTGCCGGAGGCCTCGTGGCCCTGCCCACCCTGGCCTCAGGTTCTGGCTTGACCCCGGCCCCCCCACCAGGCTGCAGGAGACCTCAGAGGACGTGGACCCTCCACTGCCCCCCTTCCTCTTCCAGCGGCTGCTGGCCAACCTGACCACTCTGCGCATCCGGACCAGCCCCAGCCCTTCCGGTCAGTCACGGTGGGGACCGTCCCCAGATGGGGCCGGGGCTGCTCTGTTGAGTCCTCACAGCCGGCAATTGTTGTCCCCATCTTACCATGAAGAAATCTGAGGCCCAGAGAGGTCAGGCACTTGCCCAAGGTCATATAACCAGTAGGGTAGTGGATGGATGCTGAGGACAGAGGCAGGGGCTGGACAGCTGAGGAGCCTGAGGATGGGCAGCTCTAAGTGACAGGTGTGTGTGGTCAGTGATGCGGCCAAGAACCACTGGTGCCGTCAGGGGTGACCAAGTTACCACGAGGCTGGACCCTCGAGGGGCACCACCGTCGTGACCACCAAAGTACGCACTTGTCATTACGTTGCTTCCAGGGGTTGACGGGCGCCTGTGAGAACCTGTGGCTTAGACAGCCCGCTTTTCCCGAGGCCCCGCTAGGTCCAAGGCTGGGGTCTAACCCGGCCTCGTCCCGTTCTGCTTCCTTCTTCCTGTTTGGAGCTGTGGTTGAATTGCCTGCACCCTCACTGTCTTTGCTGTGCTCCCCAAAAGCCTCCCTGCTCCTCGGATCGCTCAGAGGCCCCCTGGCTGAGACGCCCAACGAGAATTTCATTTTCACTGTTTCCAGCAGCTTCCAGCGTCTCCTTCCGTCATTCACTCAGCCTTCGGTTAATATTTACAAGGCACTTACTTAGGCCTGGCCCATGCTGGGCGCTGGGGGTGGACTGGAGGGGCAGGTAGGCCTCTCTCACTCTACCCCCAAACTTCGTCTTGCCACTGACAACATTCTGGGGCCTACCTCCTTAGACCTTTCTGTGCGCATGACTTACATCTGTATGTTTTGTTTTTTTTTTTAATAGAGAAATGTGATCACACGGTACAATATTCTGCAACTTGTTGTTTTCGGCTCACACTGTGACTTGGAGGTTGATACTTGTCATTACGCGTAGACAGTGGCTCTGCGCCCATGGTGTGACATAGATGCTCCATGGAGTTTAACCATCCCCCATTCATACACATGGAGCGGTTTCCAGCTTTCCATCGCTGCAGACAGTGCTGCAGGAATAGGGCAGAGCCTCGTGTAAAGCTCTTTGTGTGCTCACGCAAGTGTGTCTTTGGGACGGGTTCCTTGAAACGGAAACGTTAGGTCAAAGGCACGTTTGCAGTTTTGATAGGTGCTGCCACATTTTCCTTCAGGAAGGCCGTACACCGCGTATTCCGATGACAAGTGTCCTCTGCTCTCTACCTGCAATGCTCGTCCAGTGTTTACGGATCACTGTTTGTTATATTTTGCCCAGAGTGTCTGTTGTTTACTGTGGGAGGGTTGGTCCGATAGGAGCTATTTCTCTATTTCTAGAAGCAGAACCTTCTAATTTATATTCATACATCCACGGGCGTGAGTTCCCCACAGCCTGCCCTTCACAATATTGATCTTTAAGATGCTTACTGACCTGAGGGTCGTGATGGTATCATTGTCCTTTAAATTTACGTATCTTTACTAACCCATGAGAGTGAGCATCTTTCCATAAAATCCCCAGTCATATTCATTGCTTGTCCTGAAAATTGCCTAATTTTCCTTTGCCCCTCATTTGACCATCTTTTAAAAATGATAATTGACCCTTGGGCTGCCTTGATGTACGTGGGCCAATAACCCTTTGCCTGTCATGTGTGGGAATAGGAAGGCTTGCGGGGGAAATGTATGCCTGTGACTCCCTTCCTCTCTCTCCTCGCTCTAGGCCAGGTGTTCCTGTCCGAAGTCCGGCTCACGTCGGCGCAACGGGGGCCGCCCCCCTCAGCCTCCTGGGTGGAGTCTTGCTCATGCCCCAAGGGATACGCGGGCCAGTTCTGTGAATCTTGTGCTCCAGGATACAAGAGGGAGACACCTCTGGGGGGTCCCTATGTCAACTGTGTCCCCTGCACCTGTAATCAGCATGGCACCTGTGACCCCAACACAGGTGAGGCTCCTAGCACCCCATCCATCCTGAGGCCACCTGGCTACACTCAGAATAGCGAGGTGAGTACTGGCCCAAGCAAGGTCGGCTGTGTGCATGTGCGAATCAGCACCACAAACAATACCAATTAAGTGGCGTCATCAAGTTCCTCCACGTGCCGGGCGCCTTTTCATACAGTGCATCTCTGAATCCTGCAAAAACCCCAGGGATGCTAGGACCACGACTGTCCCATCTTCCGGGTGACGGACCTACGGTGCAGTGAGGCCACACGGCCAGTAGATGGCAGAGCTGCTTCTCCCACAAGTTCACTACCAGCTTTTCACGCCCCCAGCAGTAGAGGAAACTCAGACACACTTCGCCTGAGGTCACTGGGCAGGAGGTGCTGGAGGGGGCCGGACGCTGGCCTCGCTCCACACATGGCTCAGGCCTCTCACGCAGGAAGTGGGCGGATCAGCGCCTGCCACTCTCCTGGAGCAGGTGGGGTCTCTGAGAAGGGCAGTGGCTCCTTGGCTTTTCTTGGGTTCCGTGCTGGAGCCGGCCAAGGACAGTGGCCTGGGAATCAGCAGACTAGCCAGGGCGGACCAGCACAGGCATCATGGGGACGTCCCATCCTTCTGCCCGCGACAGGCATCACTAATCGAGCCCAGACGGGGCCCCATACTCCTTCCATGCAGTGCTCCGCTCATGAAATGGGATGAATCTGTCATCCCTCAGAGGCCGTGGCACGACTTCCTGCTCAGCAAGTCCTCATCTGTCAAATGGGCAGGGCGGCCACGCTGTCCACCCTGGACGGGAGGAGTCATGAGCGCATGGGGGCTGGGCAGAGGCAGGGACCGGCGGAAAGCGGGGCAGACGTGATGATTCCCCTTGGATGCCGCCCCTGCTCTGCTTGTTGTACCCCCTGACACATACACCCCGGTTCCCTCGTCCCCCTCCCTTCTCCTCAGCCCCAGCTCCCGGAAGTGGCAGTCTTGCTTAACCCCTTCTCACCCAGGCTTCCCGCCTGATCCCTGGCTGTGGGGCCTCCTTTCCCCAGCATCCCGGCTCCAAGCAGACCCCAGGGTCCACAGGGCTAAAGAAAGGGCTTCACAGAATCCCCCATCCCTAGAAACCAGTGGCAGGGAGCCTGGGGGGACCCAAAGACCCCATAAATGGGAGCCTCGTGTCAGGACCAGAATCGTGGCTCTTTGGTGCCCTGGTTAAGAGCTCACGGGGGAAGGGGGAGAAGTGTGCGGGCAAACGCCAGCTGCGCGGCCTGTGGGTCCTGTTACGGGCTTTGGGATGGAAAACGAGAGTGACGATAGTGACAGTACTTACGTGTGCTGTGGACTGTGCAGGCCACGTGGCCTCATCGAATCCCGATGGAAATCCTTTGAGGTTGCAGCCCGTTTGAGGTTGTCAGGCCCACTTTTCAGGTGAGGACACTGAGGCTCGGGGTGTTAGATGGTTTGGCCAAGTTCACATGGTGGCCGTGAGCCCAGGGTGGACTCTACAACCCTGGGCCACATGGCCTTCACCTTGGAAGGGTTGTCACCTGTTCTGCCGGGGACATACTCTGTGACGCCACTACCAAGAGCCCGCCCGCTGTCTCCGGGTGCTTGAGCTCAGGCGGTGGTGACCAGGGGTTCATCTTGCCCTCAGGGATCTGTCTGTGTGGCCACCACACGGAGGGCCCGTCCTGTGAGCGCTGCTCGCCAGGCTTCCATGGCAACCCCTTCGTGGGCCAAGCTGAGGACTGCCAGCCCTGCCCGTGCCCTGGACGGTCAGCCTGCACTGCCCTCCCGGAGAGCAGGGAGGTGGTGTGCACCCACTGTCCTCCGGGCCAGAGAGGTGAGTGGCTCATGCCCTGGGGTCCTGCTGCTGCCTGGGCTCTAGGAGTGGGGTCCTGGCTTTGGAGTACAGCAGATGAGGGAGGGCCCAGCTTAGGGGCGGCAGGCCTGACCTGAGTCCCACAGCCCTATAGCCAGGGCCCCGGGCCACTGTGAGTTCCTGGCAGAACGTGGCCCTCTGAGCACGCCCAGGTGAGGTTTTGAGATCCCCATGTTCTGGTCCTGGTCTCACCGAGCTTGGCTTGGTAGTTTGGGATGGTGCCGGGGAGTCTGTATTCCTAACGAGGCCTCTGGCTGATACGTTAAGGTGGAAAACCTCTGATGACGTTTTCAGCTGTTAAAAATGTCACCAGATGATGTGTGAGGTAGACACCCCCTCATTCCACCCCCAGCCCTCACCCCAGCCCTCATTCCCGCTCCAGGATTTAGGCCCGTTCTAGACATCGGATATTTTTAGGCAGCTTTACTGAAATAGTACTCACACACCCTATGATTCATTCATTTAAAGTGTACAATTTAATGTTGTTGGTGGGTTTTTTTGTTTTTTGTTTTTTGGGTTTTTTTTTGGTATATTCCATTATTTTTTTATTATGGCAAAATATACATAGCATAAAATTTGCCGTTTTAACCATTTTTAAGTGTGCAGAGGGCACCACCCTGGAAGGGATGCCTGGGTGGGGACAGTGGGGTCTGGTGCTGGCCCCGTCTTTATCACGGCAGCATCCTTTGGCCTGCTGAGGCCTGGCACGCAGAGAGCTCACCCGGACGGTCTGAGTCGAGACTGACCGGAGTCAAGTCCTGATCCCTGCCTACCCCTGCCCACCACCCCACCTGCTCAGCAGCCCTTCCCGGGGCTACAGATGCCTCCGGGCCTGGGAGCCGTCCTCACCCGCTTCCAAGCGAATGGCTGATGGACGGCGGGGCCACAGTCTTCGTCACCAGCTTCCATCTCCCTGTTGCTCATCTGCCTTCGTTTCTGTTCCAGAGTTCCAGAGCCAGGCCTCTCGATCTTGAACTCTGTTCAGATTTTCTTCTCCTTTCTTTCCTTCTTTCTTCCTCCGTATTCCTCCTCTCCATTTTCGAGGTTGCCTGCCCTTAGTAATATTAACTTGATTTCAACTAAACGATGAGCTTTGAGGACACAAGAAGCCCACGACTACCTTTCACAAGGACAGTGGCTATTTGTTCAATTATAAGATGGGTACATACTCGTAACGACTGAAACCATCTGTAAAAGTGTCACGAGGAACATAATGTACGTGTGAGCAAGAAGACAACGTGCCTGTCATCCTGCCACCCCCCCCCAGGGGACCGTGACAACCGTCGAGGTCCGTGGATCCGGTCGGTCATCTTGTTTTGTGGGGACACACACACGAGGGGTGTGTTTCCCAAGAACAGGCTGACGCTGCATGAAGCACATGGTACACGTATGTCGTTTTATGTGCCATCTGCGTTCAGAGTGGATCTCCCAGTTCATGGCCCTCTGAAAGCCTCTTCACATGCCACCTTTTCTGAGATTCACGGGGACCCCAAAGTCTGGGAGATGAGGCAGCCACCCCAGTGCACAGCAAGGAAGCAGCGGAGGAGTCTGACATAAACGGTCCAAAGGAAGTTCCGAAATCACGAGAAGCAGAAAAAAGAACGGGACCGGGAACCACAAATGAAAAAGCGGCCACAGCTGAGGGGAGGAGGCGAGGGAGGTGAGGACGAGGGTGACGAGGACGGTGACACGGAAGATGGAGAGAGTGAGCGTCAGGTGACGATGTAGACGACGGGGTATAATGACGACAGGTAACGATCAAGAAGGAAAGGATGGCGACGAAGGTGAGGGTCAAGGTGAAGATGATGCTGCTGATGAAGGCAGTGCCGAGCATGGTAATGATGGAGTCGAGGGATGCTGAGGGTGAGGATAGTGGTCAAGATAATGGCTGACAACGGCGAAGGTGCCGGCCAAGGTGCCGATGAAGAGAACGGTGATGGTGACATGATGCTGATGGTGATGAGGATGAACGGCTGATGACGGCCACACCTCTTGAGCATTTAACCATGTGCCGGGCACTGTGCCGGGTGCTTTGCATGAATTATCTCCCCAGACGCTCTCAACAGTCCTGTGAGGGAGCTGCCATTATTCCCCCACTTTGCATGTGAGGAGCCCGAGTTCAGAGAAGCACAGTGGCTTGCCCAAGACCACACAGCCAGCTGATGGCCAAGCTGGGCCCTGCTCCAGGTCATCGTGACCCCAGAGCCCACGCTCTGTTCCACAGGGAGACACGGGGGATGCCCGGGTCGGTGCGAGCCCGCCTGCCCTCCTCGTGGACCCAGCAGCCCAGCGTTGCTCATGCCGGCGCCTCCACACACGGCCCTCTTTCCTAGGGCGGCGCTGTGAGATCTGTGATGATGGCTTTTTCGGGGACCCGCTGGGACTCTCTGGGGACCCCCAGCCCTGCCAGCGGTGCCACTGCAGCGGGAATGTGGACCCCAACGCCGTGGGCAACTGCGACCCCCTGTCTGGCCGTTGCCTGCGTTGCCTGCACAACACAACAGGTCCTCTCTGTGACCAATGTCAGGAAGGCTTCTATGGCAGTGCCCTGGCCCCTCGGCCCGCAGACAAGTGCATGCGTGAGTACCCGCCTCCCAGCCCACGGGGTGGGCACGGCGGGCCCCTTGTCCACCAGACCCAGCCGGCTGCTCGGCGAGGCTGTGCAGCCCGAGGCAGCTTCTTTGCCTTCTCTGTTTCTTGTCCAGGGAGCACAAGGCTTTGCTGTTCTCCGAGGTCTTCTCAGCCTTGGGATCTGACCTGCTCTGATCCTGTGATTTTTTTTCCTGCGTCAATAATTTAGCGCTTATCTCACGCTCCACAGTTAGCACATAAGACTGTCCTGGACGGCCTGTGGCACTTGTCACGTCCCCCCTGCCCCTGGACTCCCGGTCAGGCTGTGCGTCCTGGCTGAGATGTTCTTCTGCCCCTCTCTACCGCCTGGGTTAGCACGGAGCCCAGCGCCTCTCTCAGAAGGCTGGGGCGTGCACAGCCCGTGAACGGCTCCCAGAAGCGCTGCTCAGAGAAGCTTGGCGTTGGCCCCAAACTTGTTCCCGAGCCTTTTCCCACGTAGTTCCTGCCAGCACTCTGCCGGCCTCTTGTTTTATGGAGCCCAGGAGAAGAGCAGGGCAGAGTGACCCAAAATGGTGGGGAGAGGGGTCCGTCTGTCCGTGACCCCCAACTGAGTTTCTGGCCTTCACTCAAGCTGGCAGGGGCTCGGGCCAGGCTCAGAAGGGCCATCTGGGCTGCCTCTCCAAGGACAGAGCAAACGGGCTAAGATTTGGGCCTGGCCTTCAAGCCTTTTCCCGGGAACAGCTTGGGAGTCTGGGCTGACTATGAGTCGTCTCCTTGGGCTCCCCATTTTGTCTGCCTCTCCTGGACCCCCAAAGCTTGGACAGATGATCTGCATGGTTCCCCAGCCCCCTTTCCTGCTCCTACCCCCAGCCTGCAGCTGCAATCCGGGGGGCTCGGTCAGTGAGCCCTGTGACCCAGCGACCGGCCAGTGCTCCTGCCTGCCTCATGTGACCGGACGGGACTGTGGCCGCTGCAGCCCAGGCTTCTACGACCTCCAGCCCGGGAAGGGCTGCCAGAGGTGGGTGGGGTGAGGCTACGGCGCCCTCCCCTAGGGTCCCACCAGGATGGAAGAAAGCACCAGGGAGCCTCCAGAGAGAGGCCTGGCTTAGAACGTGGTCCCAGGCCCACTGCCAGGTACACTGTGCCCTGCTCCGAAGGGGGACAAAGAGTCTCTTGGGGGTCAGACTCACGGCACTGCCAGCCCAGGATCCAGGCCAAGAGCAACCCTAAGGGATGTCCAGGTGGACAGGGGCCGATTTGGTGTCTGATCCCTTTCTCGGTGATGCTGTCACTTAGTGACCCTTCTGGCCACAGCAGCACCTTAGACAGCGTCTTTGGGGAGCAGTGGACTCCAGGGAAATGACCAGCAGAGCAAACAGGTTTCTTCCTTGGGTGACTTCCCAGCCTTTAATATGCTAATTGCGTTGTGACTTTCTCACAGAGGGTTATAGTCCCCAAGGTGTATACTTCCCATAGCCTTTTCTTTTTTGGGGGGGAGGGGACATTTTTTGAGACTGCTTCCCAGGGCATGGCTTGGGGGAAGCTGTTTGACATCTGCCAACATGGAGATGGGGCATTGTCACAGATAAGGTGGCACCATCTGAGGACCCCTCGCCAACGGCAGCTGGGAGTGGGCGGAGCTTACTCAGACCCGGTTCCGTTCCTTATCACAGCTGTAAGTGCCACCCACTGGGCTCCCAGGAGAACCAGTGCGACCCCAGGACTGGGCAGTGCCCCTGCCGCCCAGGCGTCGAGGGCCAGGCCTGCGACAGATGCCAGCTGGGTTTCTTCGGCTTCTCCGTCAAGGGCTGCCGGGGTAAGGAAGCCAAGTCCCTCCGGGGCTACTGGAGGGTGGGGCCTGAGGAGAGAAAGGTCAGATGCAGGCAGGTCTCGGAGCCCTGCAGACGTGGAGTGAGAGGGGAGAGGCCGGCATGGGGTGGGGGGCAGGAAGCTAGTCCCAGATGCCACTGCGCTGGGGCCACGTGCCACGTCTCTGGGCCTCAGTGTCCTCATGCGTGCTGTTGGGCTGCACAGCTGTTCTTTAGTCCCCCGGGGGACGCTGAAGGCAGTCAGGCTCTCAGTCATCACCTCCGACCCCTGAATCAGTCTCCTGGGGAGGCCCCGGGAATGTATTTGAGCTCCCCGGAAGGTGGGCTGAGGGGTCTGGGGCAGACAGGTGTGAGGCTGCAGGGGCCCCCGGGGTTCTGGTGTGGGGTGGCCCTCAGGGCACCCAGCGCCATCGGCCTCCACAGCCTGCAGGTGCTCCCCGCTGGGTGCCGCCTCGGCCCAGTGCCATGAGAACAGCACGTGCGTGTGCAGGCCTGGCTTCGTGGGCTACAAGTGTGACCGCTGCCGGGACAACTTCTTCCTCACGGCCGGCGGTGCACAATGCCAGGAGTGTCCATCTTGCTACGCCCTGGTGAAGGAGGAGGTGAGCCCGCCCCATCCAGGCCCCATCCAGGCCCGCTGCACCTCTCATTCATTCCGTGGCCTCCGTGAGCTCCAGCTCTGTGCTGGGCACCAGGAACCACCCACCTGTCCGTAGTTCCCTGGCCTTCCAGGACCACCAGCTGCCTTCTCCCTGTGCATGCCCAGCCCCCCGGCCCACCCTAACCCAGAGCCGCCCTCACGCCTGTTCTTCCCCCACCCCTCAGTGGGCGGGAGCTCTCAAACTGTTTCCTTACCAACCACCCATGCTGAGGCCTCGCTCTTTCTCAAGGTCAAAGGGGAGGAGACCACAGAAGGCCCTTCGTGGGGAGGGGCGGGGGAGGAGGGTGATGCCCATTCTGGGGCACACGCGGAATTTTGAGCAGGGCGGTAGAGCTGTGGTGTAGGGTTTCCCTCCCCTCAGTTCTATTAATTGTCATGCACCAAAGCAGGTGACAGCCTCGGTACACTTCAGTGTCTCCTATTCCAAAAAGAACCTACTTCGGGCCTGCAACCCCTCACCTGAAAACGATGAGGCCAGCTTTTGGGATGATGGTCTTGTAGAAAGACGAGATGACATAAACTAAGTGTTAGGTGCCACCCCCAGCAGCACCTGGGCCAGGCCTATCATCAAACCCATTGATGTGTCTGCAGGAAAACATGACTGTTCATGCCAAAGGAGTCAATAAAGAGCACAAACCACCTCGTTCAGAATAGTTTTGCTTCCAAATGGGTTCAGGGTTTTTTGAATCTGATTTCGTCATCAATTAAGAAATGGAAGGCCTTATTTTTCAGAGCATTTTGGACTTTGGAATTGAGGAAAGGGCTCGGGACCCTAAGCCCCTGCCCCTCAGGGTGGTTACAAGGTGAACGTGAACTAGAGTGTGGCGGGCGATCACTCCCAGCAAGTGCTCTGTAAATGCAGTTATTGTCCAGATCATTGAAAGAACGGGGGTAGGAGATGTTGCATAGCATACTCACTCGGCCAGCAGGTACCCATGGTGCACCTGCTCTGTGCCCAGTTTTGGGATTACAGCAGGACAGACAACTTCTCCTGGGCTTCCCTTCCCATCCGTCCCTCCCTCAGTAGGACAGAGGTGTGGTCAGATGAATGCCTGCAGGTGCCACGGGTGGGAAAAGGGAAGGGACAGCCATGAGGTCAGGGTGGGCAGGGCTGGTTTTCAGAGGTCTGGTGTGTCCTTAGCTTTGAAACCCAGAGGAAGGGGACCCTCAGGGAGGACAGCCAGGTAGAAGCCAGGAGGAGGTGTCCAGGCCACTAACCTCACACACCCTTCCTTTCCTGTCCCCTCCAGGCTGCCAAGCTGAAGGCCAGGCTGATGCTGATGGAGGGATGGCTGCAGGGGTCTGACTGTGGCAGGCCCTGGGAACCAATGGACATCCTGCAGGGAGAAGCCCCGAGGGGAGACATCTACCAGGGCCACCAGCTGCTGCAAGGTACCACGGGAGAGCACAGTGGGAGGCTAGGAGGCGAGGGGAGGGCTGGCTGGTCAGACGCCCCTTTGGAGCCCTTCAGTCTGGTCTCAGATGCTTTGAAGGCTCCCAGCTCAGCTCCAGGAGAACCCACTTGCTGGGAGAGCCTGTCTGACCACCCCGACAAGGTGGGTTCCTCCCATAACACAGTCCTGTCACCCCATGGACCTCTCTTCCAATGCCCATTGCCCAGTTATATTTTGAAACTATTAATGTTAGTCCAACTATCAAGCATCAGTCCCCCTGCCCCCTGCCCCCTGCCCCACCCAGACTCTAAGCCCAGTGAGGACAGGGCTGGGTTCATTCATTGATGCCCTTGCTCAACAACTAATTATTGAGACGCTGTCCCAGGTGCTGAACAGGTAAAGCTCCTGCATCCTTAACTGTTGGCCATTTTGCTCACTACTATATAGAAAATAAATAATTAAAAAAAAGATGTTACTAGAGCCAGGTGGAATTCAGCCCTGAGCCAGACTCTACCCAGTGAGGACAGGGCTGGGTTCATTCATTGATGCCCTTGCTCAACAACTAATTATTGAGACGCTGTCCCAGGTGCTGAACAGGTAAAGCTCCTGCATCCTTAACTGTTGGCCATTTTGCTCACTACTATATAGAAAATAAATAATTAAAAAAAAGATGTTACTAGAGCCAGGTGGAATTCATCCCTGAGACACTGAAATTTCGGGAGCATTGAAAGCAGATTATTTTGTGTAGTTTCACGTTCATAGGCACCTTTAGCATCCAGGTATAGATGAGCTGAGCACCTGTTAACAAGACTAATTATCAAAATAGGGAGCTGTCAGAGGCTGCATGTTGAAATGCCCATCTTGAGCCATGCTGCAGATGACAGAGGTGACTGGAGGCAGTCCTATTGCTGTCCCAGACGCAGGAATTGCTCACTGTGGCTCCGGAAGGCCAGTCCCTTGTCCGTGGCTGACTTCCTGCATGTGGGACCTTGGGTTATGATTTGTCTTCTCAGCCATTGCACCTGTACAATGGGGGGGCTCTTCTTTTGGAACTGACTGGTGCTAGAGTTAAGCTGTGCCCAGGAAGACAGAGGGCACAGGTGGGTTCCCCCGAGGGCTGGGGCTTTAGTGTGAAATCTCGATCGCTCTGTGACCCTCTGGACCATGGGCTTTCTGCAGGGTTCTGGGAAGCCTCACTGGAGCAGGTGACAAGCCTTGAGGGTGCCGTGAAGGCTGCCCGGGAGCAGCTGCAGGCACTGGACAGGAAGGCTCGCTGTGCCCAGGCTGGAGCCCAGAAGACCTGCATCCAGCTGGCGGACCTAGATGCAGTGCTGGAGTCCTCGGAAGAGGAGATTCTGCATGCAGCCACAGTTCTGGCATCGCTGGTACCCCAGAGAGTCCCCTCCCCACACAGAGCCCAGGCTCAGTGCCATCGACCTGGTGGCCTTGGGCATGGCTTTCCCCTTTTAGGGGGCTCAGTTTGCCTAGCTGCCAAAATGGGGGACACAGAATGCCTCCTCCGCTGGTTCAGTGGGATAAGTTTGCAAAGAATGAGGCATGTTCCAAGCAGACAGTGGATGCCTGGCATGTCATTACTGTTATTGCCACGGTCCAGGGCTCTGCTTCCTGGAGCTGATTTGCAACTAGCTTTGAGCATTTCTCGAGTAACTGCCCCTGTCTGGTTCTGCCCAGTAGCTTAGCGAGACGTGGCCCCTTCCCCTCCAGGGATGGACCTTCAGTTTTCTTCTCTTTTCCTCTTTTCTCTAAAGGTGATTCCTCAGGAAGTGCCCGGCCAGCCCACCAAATGGAGCCACCTGGCCACAGAGGCCCGTGCCCTTGCCAGGAGGTGAGCCCTGGGAATGTGGCGGAGGCCCTGTCCACCATATCATGAAGGGGATTCCAAGGTCAGGATCAGCCCCACAGCTGTCCCTGCCCCAGGAGTTGGAATCAAATGAGGACAAGAGCTTCCTGGCTTCGGGCGGGGGGTGGGCGGGGAGGGAACGTCACCACCGTGGGAAGGAGAGGTGTGTAAAGACAGCATGAGAGCCTCAGAGATGCTGGGGTGCGGGGAGGAGGTGCACAAAGGCACCTCGGCCAGCCGAAGGCATCTGAGAGCATCCACTGGCTTTTTAAAACAGCTTCGTTTAGATAAAAGTCATATCCCATACAACCCACCCATTTAAAGTGTGTGATTCGGCTGTTTTCAGTGGATTTGCAGAGTTATGCATCATCCCCACATTTTCATCACCTCAGAACAAACCTGCACCCATGAGACATCGCTCCCCGTTTCTCCTCAGCCCCCCATCCCCCAGCCCCTGGCAACCACTAATCTACTTCCTGTCTCTATAGATTTACTTATTGTGGACATTTCGTATACATGGAATCACAATACGCAGTCTTTTGCACCTGCTTCTTTCGCTTAGTGTGATGGTTTCAGGGGTCATCGATAATGTCGCGTGTACTTCATTCCCTGCATTTACGACCAAATAATATTCCACTGTGTGGCTCTGCCACCTCTTGTTTATCCAGTTGTCCATTGATGGCCATTTGGGCTGATTCATCTACTGCTTTTAAGAAGCAGCCTAAGACCCTAAAAACACAGGATCTGCAGCAATTTCCGCCTTTGATCTGTACTCTAAGGACTTTGGTCCCATTTGATAGGTGAAAAAAACAGACTCAGAGAGGTTAAGTGACTTGCTTAAGGACACACAGCTTGCAAGTGATAGAACCAGGATTCAAACCCAGGCTGTCTTGACCACAGTCTTCTATGCTGTTTTTATCAAAGTGACTGTATAATTTATTGCCCAGATTGAGATTCTATGAGTGAGAAGAGGCCCTATTCATCATTCTGCCAGGACAATAGACATAAACTATATAACAGGAATGGGGCTGTGGGTCCCTCCCCATCAGCCTCACTGTGTGTCAGGCAGAGATGGCAGGAGGCCCAGGCCATGGGGCTGTGGGTTGGGGCCCAGGGCCCCTTCCTGGTGAGCTCCTGGCCATGGTTGGTGGGTATTTTTATACAGCCACAAGGACACTGCCGCCAAGATCAAGGCCACTGCTCGGAGGGCTCTGCTTGCCTCCAACACCAGTTACACGCTTCTCTGGAGTCTGGTGGAGGGCAGAGCGGCCCTGGAGGCCCAGCGGGAGCTGGAGGACAGGTGAGACCTCCCAGGTGTGGGTAGGAGCTTGGGTTGGCCTCCTGAAGCCAATGGGGCCTGCCAGAGGCTACTGGTTCCAGAACTGGCTTCCTTCCCTTGACGGTCAGTGTGGCAGGTCAGGACGTCTGGGGTCTTGAGCCCGCTTGGAGGTAAGTTACAGAAACCCACACATGCCCAGGGGTGCAGCTCAGCCTCTGGAAATAAGGGACAAGGACCTGAACAAGGAGGCCCAGGGCAGCGTGTTGCCCTCTCGCCTCTGGCAGCACCCCCAGCCCCACCCCAGGTCTCCGGGGCGGCTCCTCTTGGGTACCAGCTTCTTTCTTGGCCTCTGTTTCTCTGCCGTGAATGGCCCCTTTATACCCATCTTGGTCAAAGTGTCAATGGAGATCCACCAAGGTCTCACTGAGCCCCAAGTGGACTTCCTAGATGAGAGAATCTGATTGGCCCAGCTTGGATCAGGTGGCCAGCCCAGAGCCAATTGGCCTGGCTGGGGTGAGGTCACATGACCCATTCCCAGGGATGGGGGTGGCACCAGCTCTCTGAGATGGAATGAAGGAGGGAGCCAGGGCTGGGGAGCTGGATGGGGTGATGTGGGCAGCTGGTCAGGACAGGAAAGCTGTTCTAGTTGGTCGATTACAGCACGTCAGGGCTAAAGGGCCCCAGAGCCATCGTGCAGCCCAGAAGTCTTCGTTTTCCTAGACAGCGACGTGCCCAAGGTCACCCAAGGGCACAGCCAAACCGAGATCCAGCCCGGGCTGCTGTCCCTTCCCTAATACCAGGCACTTTCCTCTTCATCCAGAGGAGCCAACCATTTGCAAAACATGTGATTCTCAAGTGCAAACCGAGTGTGAACCCTTCAGAAAAGCATGATTGAATTGAGTGATTGAAGAAACTACTGCCTTTCCATTCATTCAAAAGCAGCAAAGTGGCAGCCAGTTTCCAAGGCCAGCTGCTGGGTACCGACCCCGCAGAGGGTGGCTCTGCCAGGAAGTGGGGAGATGCCTTCAAAAATCGGGCTCGGGGAGAGGCATGGGACAGTGCGGGGAAGACAGGCCCCGCACCCTGCTCCGGGGACCATCCTGCCTCTGTCTCCTCTCAGGTACCAGGAGGTCCAGGTGGCCCAGAAGGCGCTGGGCACAGCTGTGGCAGAGGCGCTGCCCGAAGCCGAGAGGGTGCTGGCCACCGTGCAGCAAGCTGGCACAGATGCGGCTCTGCACCTGACCTCCTCCTTGGCTGTCTCTCCAGCACTGGTCAGCATGGCTGTCTTGGGCTCTCTGCACAGGGTGGGGGCAGGGGAGAAGGTGGCAGCTGGAAAACCAGTGCAGCCCGGGCAGAGGCAGGAGCCACGGCTTATTTTTAACTCTATAACTGTCGATTAAAATGAGATAATGCACCTCCAGGGCTTGGCAGAGCACCTGCCCGGCAGTCAGGGCTCAGCCGACCCTCGTTGTCGATTACAATAATAATAATAGCAAGGTGGGACCTCTTCCCCACCGGTGGCAACAGCAGTGGCCCCAGATGGACATGGGATCAATCCCAGCTCTGCTGCTCCAGCCGTGACCTTGGTCAGGGACTTTCCCTCCCCCCTGCTGCACCCTAGTTACTTATCTGCCAGATGGAGATCACCCATTGGGTTACTCTAGGACTGCGTCCCCAGGGGCCAGGAGGGGCTTCGTGAGTAATGTACAGGGTGACCCTCAATGCGTGTCAGCCTCCTCCCCTCTGTGCCTGCCACCCTACACTCATCACCTGGATCAATCAGTCATCCTGGAATCCCAAACTCGGGAACTGAACTTTAAAAAAGTTTATGCAAATGTGTTTGGGGCAAACCAGGAGTGGGACCGACGGGCCCCAAGCTTCTCACAGGGGTCTTTGCTTCTCCCCGGCATGTGAAGAGTAATATGCAGGTCACGACGCGTTTGGCCCTGAGCGCCGGTCTCCAAGACACTGTAGCTCAGGGTATCAGGTAACACCCAGTGCCTGCCCAGTGATGCTTCTCTGAGGCCCAGGCATTCTGAATTGGAGAGTACACCGCCCCAAGGTTTCGGCCCGGGGACTACGGGCCCGGGAGGGACATGCACGTCAGGGAGGCCGGCTGACTCGCACGAGGCTGCCCTTCTACAGATTGGTGGGGCTAGAATCGGAGTCTCGGGAGCTCCAGGCCCCCCAGCCTGGCCTCTTGCACCCTTGCGCCTCTGCGTCCCTGCGTTCACAAGCCCCTCTCCCCGCCATCCGTGCCCGGGCACCTCTGCCCACCTGTGACCTGCCCCGCGGACCTTCCCGCCGCGCCTGCCTGAGCCCTGCATCTCCTTGCAGCTGCGGAAGTCTCAGGCCCAGGGCCTGGACCTGAAGGTGCAGGTCCTTGAGAAGACAGTCACGTCCAGAGAGCGCAGGGTCACCGAAGTGGCCCGGGCCCTCCAGGCCACCGCCCAGGCCGTGCTGCACAAGGCAGAGCCCCTCGCGCAGGTAGGTCCTTGTCCTTCGAGAGAGGCACCTGGAGGAGTTTGGGGCTGCCCCAGGGGTGGTGTGGGGTTGGGGTCTCAGAGGAGGGAGGAGCAAAGACTAGCTGTAGTTGCTTCCATCCTTCTAGTGTCTCCCCCAAAACTTCAGTGAACCTCAGAGTCAGCCAGGGCAGAAGAAGGAAGGGTAGAGGTGTGGAAGGAGGCAGGCTGGACAGACGGACGGACGGGCACACCCGCAGCAGCCAGAGCCACGCCCACCACCCTCACTAATTGACCGGGGCTCATTCATTCATTCTTTCCTTCACTAGTTCATTCACCCCGTATTTAGCAAGCACCTGCCCTGCTCTTAGTGGTGAGCCACACAGGTTGGCACTTGCCGCCCAGAAAGGGAGACAGTGTTAGATGACCAGGGAATGCCAGGAGAATTATGGGGTGGATTTAGCCCAGTCCTGTGGCGGCCAACCTGGCAAAGTATAAAGACCTCTGAAACCGCTTTTGAACTTTTCATCTGGAAATAATTTTAGGCTGACAGAAAGGTCGCAAAGGGAATACAAGGAATTCGGACGTACCCGTCACACAGATTCCCCGTGTGTAACGGTTTACCTAGCCACGGCACAGGTGTCGCAATGTAGAAATCGGCGTGATAGAATACGGCGAACTAATCCACCGACCTATTCAGATCCTGCCACCTACTGCAGTGACAGCCTGTCCCATAGCCATCCTTACTTTCCCTGTAAAGACAGGGAACGAAGGGTAAGGTTGTTTGTGAGAAGTGGGTGAGCTTTGCATCCAAAGAGCGGGGCCCCGTGCCTGGCGCATACTGGGGAGCTGTGCTGTGTCACAGTTCAAACCTTGGCCCCCGGGTTGGTACCCGCTGATCCAGTTCATCACCCTTGTCCAGAGCAGGGATGCCAAGTTGAGAGGGGCCTCCCCGGGCCTCTGAGCACCATGGCAGTCGGGGCCACAGCCCAGCGCGTGGTGCCAATGCCACCGCAGGGTATCCCACCTTTGCCTCCCAATCTGCTAAGTGTCCAGAGTCAGACTGAGACACGCGAGCTCTCGGGGCATTGGGTGGCTTTCAAACCCATTTGATTCATTATTTATTATAATTTTAATTCTTTTTTTTTTTTATCGAGCCGAAATTCACATAACACAAAACGAACCTTTGCGAAATGCCGTGGCATTCAGCACATTCGCAATGTGGTGCAGCCTCCACCTCTGTTTCATTCCAAACACTCATCACCCCAGAAGGGAACCCCATGCCCATTGAGCAATCCCTCGTTCTTCCTTCCCCCGATCCCGGCAATCATCCACCTGCTTTCTCCGTCTATGGGTTTACCTGCTCTAGGTATTTTACATAAATGGAATCCTACAGCATGTGGCCTTTTGCATCTGGCTTCTTTAACTTGCTACGGTCTTGAGGTTCATCCACATTGTCTCATGTATCAATATTCATCCCTTCTACTGTGTGGATGAACCACATTGTGTGTATCTGTTCATCCAAAACACCCATACAGTCTTGTCGAGTGGCGGTGAGGACGAAACTGATTTTTTATGGCAAAAGTTGTATAATAAATAGCTTCACTATTTGAGACACAGAAGCATTCTGAAAAATTCTCAGTCGCCCATCTTGCCTTTAGTTATCATGTTCCAGTTTTCCTTCAAGCTTTTCCAGGACAGGTGGCTTCTTGGGAGAGATAGTCAGCGATTAACATGTGTGTAATCCTGGTAAGCAGCGTAGTTAGTTGTCAGAGTTTGGGTGACGTTTTGGGACCTAGTACATGTGAGGTCGGTGACCACCTGACCTGATTCTGGGTGGCACACCTGCAGGCCACCTGCCCAGCCTCTCTCTTCTCTCTCCAGCTGCAGCAGGAGGCCACAGCCGCCCTGTCCCAGGCTTCCTCGTCAGTCCAGGCTGCCTCAGTGACTGTCACGGGAGCCAGGACTCTGCTGGCTGACCTGGAAGGTATGTATGTGTGCCCTGCTGAGGCCTGGACTCATCAATGCACAGACCTGCCCATGACAGCCAACTGGACTCGCCTCGACCAGGGCAGGCTTAGCTGCAGGGGACGGAAGTCCAGTCACGTGGGCACAAGCGAACAGACAACACTGTCCATCAGGACATCTCCTGGGGCTGCTTGTCTCTCCCCGTGTCCCACACCACTCACTGGTACTTGCTCACATGACCATCCCCCATCAGACCATATGCAGAGCCCCTATGCGAAGGCCACATAGAAAACAATCTGATGCCATCGGCTGCCTACTCTTGGCCTAGTCCACTCTGCCGGTGGTCCCGCTACATGCTACAAATATGGCTGCTGTGGTCCAGCGTGCAGCAGGGGCTACGGGGCGAGGCAGTTTCCCTTTCGAAGGGGGTGCGGGTCTGTGCTGGTCCAGGTCTCTTTCAAGCCTTAGGAAAATGAAACTAAGTGCTCCTATTTTGCAGGCGAGTAGACTGAGGAAAGGAATTGATATCTCTCCCTGGTTCAGAGCCAAGTTGAATGAAGCCAGCCGGTGTTACGATCCTCGGTGTCCCCCGCACCATGGGCTCCTGTGGTGTCCTTTTTGCTCCAGAGAGAAGCCCCCTTGCCCTTTATTTCTGGCTCTGTTCCAATGAGCTGGATAAGGCAGGAGCTCACCCTGAGCTCCTGATGACTTCGGGGTCTGAGACCAGAAGTCAGGCTTCTGCCGTCACCTTGGTTCTGTAGTCTCCCGCCCTGGCCCCACCCATGGCCCGTAAGAGACGTGGGTCCAGACCCTTGGGGTGAGCTAGGCAATTCCCCCTATTCTCTAGGTTCCTCTACATTCTGAAGTCCTGGGCGCCTGTCAGGGGCTTCCAGCAGGAAGGGTGTGGCTGTATGTGCTTATCTCCAACCTGCGTTTAGGAAAATGTAAATTCAATGCTCTATGATGGAATAGCAGGGTTTTAGAACATTAGAATTATAAGGGGGTCTTAAAACCATGTGCCGCGACCCCCTCACCAGGCAGGGGACCCATCCCCCCTCAGCCTGCTTAGTCCAGTGATGGGGTGCCCACCACCTCGCAGGGTATCACCTCGTCGTTAGACGGTTCTGAGAATGAGAAAGTTCTTACCTGTGCTGGACGGGAGTCCACCTCACTCACACTGCTGCCCTCAAACCGCTCACCCCAGGTTCTCTCCCCATT